ACGACCTGCATGTGAGCACCCTCTCATGATAAACTGTGACACTACTCGTGTCCTTCAAGGCAACATCACCCAATTCGTTTGGGTGCAGGATGGAGCTGTTATGGTGCTCGCCCGAGCCGATTGGTAATCAGAAATACAAGTGAGAGGTGATGAAGATGACAAATCACACCCTAACTTGCAAAACTACATCTCGAAGCATCTTATCAAGGAAAATAATATCGTACGATAACATTAACGGTGAAGTTCATTATTCGCCAACAGCCATCCAGGATAGTGTTGCACACATACTAACATAAGGCACCATGTCCGAGGTACGATAGCACTTGTTTCTTAGAGTTGGGAGATTACTTTGGATACCAGGCGTTCAAATTTTGTTTGGAAAAATTCCAGAGGAAAAGACAGAAGCAAAAAAAATCCTCAGGCAGAGCTGAAAGGGAGAAAATGAAGGAAGGTGATACAGTACAGAGTGAGCAGTTCACGTGAGTTTGCTCGTTTTGTACGTTTTGCTTGAGTAGTCATAAATACCAATCGCATTGTTCAATGTTTCTTCATTTACATTTCCACAAAAGCAAAACAGCTGGTTCTATGTCGTGATTATTTTCAGAAGCTAGGAATGCACTTTTCGAGCTAAAAAATCTCCCGTCCTGACTAATAGTTATAAACAAAATGCAGTTCTAATAACTGCGCTGGTGCTATAAAGAAAGGAACTCTACTAAAAGTTGTTAGGAAAATTTCAGTAGACGCTGCATTGGAGGAGAATATTGCGGAACAACAGAGACCTAGCTTCACTTGAGATACCACAAGGTACCATCCTTACGACAACGAATTCAGAACCTGTACCACCTGTCACCTGTAGTCCCGTTGATCGTCGAGTCGAGCGGGAACTAGTAAATCTTCCACTTTTCCCCGTTGCGTGCAGGAGTAGACCATTATGTTCTGCTCGCCCTAGGGACTCGCTGAGTATCATATCTTTTTCTAGGCTTTCCGTGAAGAACTCTGACCATCGAAATGGTAAACACAGTAAAAGAATTCAGAACAACAGTCACAATTAAATGAATCAGTGAAGAATAAACTCAGAGGAATACAAAGTTGGAAGAGCTGTGGTGAAAAATGAAACAAAAGCTTATGTCGACGTATTCTACCACAAGATGGTTATTGTAAGATACAAAGCATAGGCATTAAAATAAACAAGATGAAACAGGAGCCGAAGATTTTGTATTACAGAAAAGTTAAGTCGGTTAATTATTGATCGAATGCGTTTACGTCATTCTGCGCATCTACACCGGCTAGAAAAAAGAATCATTTCGGTTGAGTATAATCTAAGAAAAACATGGGGCGGATAGCATAGTAGTGATGTCCGTCATCACGAGCAAGGTGCTGGTTCCATTCCGCTCCGGGCCAACTAAGCTTCTCATCCCCCTGGCTCGGGAAATTGGTAACGGACCTGTCTGGGAAAAAATCGCTCTCTGCAATCTAATCGGGAACGCTCCAGCCCGGCTATCTCAGGACTCCAGGAAGAATTGCTCGACCAGCATTCTACGACATTCAAGATGAAATGAAAATCCTCAAGCAGCAACCGAAGCCACACATAAAAGTTGGAAGATCTTCGTGGATGGTAGATGCGAGCAAACGAATTGAATGTGAGAAGGGCTGGGATCCACACGGTAGAGCTGAGGACGGATCAAATAAAATGAAATAAAAAAATAAATAAACAAAAACACAAGGAACCAAGAAACAATAAGTGTCCACGGCTAAGCGATGTCGTCGTACCAAATGCCCTTGGGATGTTTGGCTCACTTATGGTTTACACTGCATGAGAACACCTGAAATTCATTTCAAAATGCCAAAACGCCGAGTTATACCGAAATAAAATGCCCGTACGAATTACGCAACTTGGAATTGTGGAATGAGAATAATTTTAAGAACTGTTCAAGGATGTTTACTGGTATAGTAGCCGACGTTGTTAAAAATACTTTTTCAGAGCTTGCTAGGTTATCAAGTTGCAGCTCATTCGATCGTTTGGACCTATTAATTAATGAATGATTTCGATCCATTTTGAACACGAACCTCCTAAGGCTACATCATCTTTCTCGGAGTTTCTTGGTAGAAACCACTAGATGCCTTTTTTTGCTAAATGAGCGCTGATTGCACAGAAATGGCAACTATTCCATGAGGAACGTCTACTAAGAATTTTAACTAAATTGGCAAATTTCCTTATTGGTTGATTTTTGGGAACTCCCATCATTTAGAGTTCCTCAGAGGGCTTTGAGCTAAGCTGAATCCGAAGTGAACTCAGTATAACATCCAACAGTTCCTTTCTTTTCTGCTTTGAGAAGAATTGACGTATCAGAACTGTTTAATGCTACGGTAAGCAAGCCAACAATGTTCTTCAACTTCCCTCTAGCTGTGTAATCTTTGTTATAATAAATAGATGGAAAATCCACGTTAGGATCCCTTTTCTGTCAGTTGCTATTTCGTAGTGATACGCAATCAGTTGTAACGGTAAAGAACCACGCTGCTTGCAACTCAATTAGAATTCTTTAAGATACTTATAGAACATCCAAAAAATAAAGAGTTTAGCATTGCTTAATCCCTGTGACATGTTCCATGGACTTGACTTCACCAGGTATCAATAGAAATCACTGAAAGCATACCTGGCTTATAGAATGACTTGCGGTGTATTACCGATATATCAAGTCAGTGCTGCTATCTTCCCTTGCAGTTCTGTTACCAGTCCCCCACTTGCGGAGGTATGGAGGGCTTAATGAGCCCGGGACGTAGGATCGACCCAAAGAGCGTTTGTGTATTCAAGGGCACCTCTAACCACGGCGTTACAAGAGCCCCAGTTTAGGGAATACAAAAAAATATTACTCCATCGAGCGCGATGAAAGTTTTGTTAGTTTTTAACCTTTAACTTCAATCAAGCATAACATTAGTTGAAAATGAATTTTATTAACCAGAATAGCAACAAAAGGCCGCTTTTTATTTCACTGCGCTAATACATTATGATATCGGAGTCAACAAATCTTCCAAAGAGGCTCTCGCAGCGCCTTGGTCTTTCTTGCAAACAGTTGACGAGATACTTGAAAAAGAGGATTTTAGATAGCTATAGGTCAGGTATGCTTGGCTTGGAAGCAGTGCCGTGCTCAAACTCCCTTAAAGTCTGCAGTGATTGCTTGAACGACGTCTTTTCGCCTTTTGTTCTTGCAGCAGGACTAGCCGCTATTGAATGACCAATGGTAGTCGTTGCTACTTTGTGTATATCTTCTCAACTTTTCTGTGATGCTAATCTGCTGCAGTGGATTGGTCAGAATTTATAAAACTTATGGAACACATATTATGCATGGTTCGATTTTTTCGAGCAAGAAAAGCTACCGCGACTTTTTCTGGCAAATTTGACTTCGAAGGCTGATTAAATGTTTCGCCGCCAGCCAAATTTTGGCAGAACTTCGTTAGTTGTCAAACAGGAATAATTTCACTCCCATATCATGTAGCAGATAACGGACTGCTTAGCTGCGATATCTCCACTTTCTGTTCAGTGTAAATGCGACTCATTTGTGCAGTTTTTCGACCTCCAACGGCAGTTCGATCGAGGACACCTACAACTGTTGCTTGACTTGCCTTGGAACCAGCGTTCCAGTCGTTGCTCGTAGACCAAATTCACTTTATACCCTGAAGGGGTATCCTTGATAACAGCGTGCCATCGAAGACATTGCTCATGTTCAAAACTCAAATTCGTGACGAAATTTTTGAAACCAATATCACATTATTCCAATTGTACTTGGATACTTGCATAGCCCGTCTTCACTAGTTGTGCCGGCCCTAGCATGATTTCCACTTTTTTGGAGTTTGCTAGTTTAGCCATTGCGGTTCACTGGAGTCTCGAGGTCAACCTGCCCAAAGTCTACCCCAGGGCGTCACCACTACAGGCAGTCGCAGCCCTTGTGGATCAGAGAGAGATTTACCACCATGCGACTAATTTGATGCCAGAACGGTGGTGGATCCTGGTATTGGGTTATTTCTAGCTAGGCTTCCTGATGGAAACGCCATACACCTTCTCAGCTTGGGAGACCCTGCTGGAGAGATGAATCTCCCCGCTTAGAAAGAGACCTTCGTTTCCATGTTTCCACCCTCCAAATTTTAGCACTTTTATTCCATTGGCCGAAATTCAACACAAATTAGTACAAAGGCGAAAATATTAACAAGACGGTGCAGAACAAAATTTGAGCTACAAAAGGATACATAAGATAACACAAAACCAATTACATACATATTGCATATAAATATATACACATATGTGTTGTAAACTGATTTTCATTTAACCATGATGTGGTTGAATCAACGTCTATTTACACAGCCTCATTCAAGTACGAAGTATCGGAATTTGAGCAGCCGAAATAGACAGTATTCCTCCAGAAGGAACCGATAGCGCAGTGTTAGGTGTGGTCCCCCTCATTACGTAGCAGGCCGGACCCACCTAAGCTACCTAAGCACTGCCGATCCGGGTCCACCAAGCCTGTCGTCGAGAAATTGGTGCCAGAGTTGCCTGGGACAAGCTCACTTCCTCTAATATCGCACGGCTATTTCAAAATTCTAGGGATTATCGAATCGACCAGCATGCAACCACATTTCTGGCGAAGAGGAAAAAACCTCAACCATCATCCTAAGCCACGCAAAAATAAAACCTAGAAGGCGTGAATGGTGGATGCGAGGAAATGAACTGAATTCGTGAAGAGCTGGAATCTCCACAGCGTGATTCATGCGGTATCAGGTCATGTAATGGAACAATAAGAATAATTTTTCTGCATTTGAATAATAGAAGACACTACAGGAAAAAACCGCAGTGTGGACCATCATCTTGGGAATAAAAACTACAAACCAAGAACTGAGTCCAGCCTAAGGTTCTAACGTTTCTGCTATCTTTTGGCGGGAAATGCTCAGTTCCTTCTAATACACAAGAAATTTGTACGACAACACGTCAGAGATGCCTCATTTTTTAGTTGGCGTGTTATAAAATTACTTGGCTCTGGAGGATTTGGAGATGTTTACAAAGTTCAAAAAAAGGATAACCCAGATAAAACGGTAAGTGAAAGTAAAGGGTATGTCTTATGTCAATATTAGCTACAGACGTTAGTGGTTCGGGAGATTCCATTATTGATATTGACATTCGCTATGATAGAAAACGATAGGTGTGCACATTCTAGTGCAAGAGTTTCAGAAGATATTTAAAATCCTTTTTCGAAAGTAGGAAACATTTTGCAGGAGTCAGCGATGAAAACCGAAATGACGTTCGGTAACCGCCAAATGCTACGACTGAAAATCGAAGTAATGGTGCTAATGAAATGTCATGAACAGACGGATCCGAAAAAAAAGGAGCATTTCGTCGCTTTCGTTGACCGAGGAAAGACGAAGAAGTTCAAGGCACTCAACGATTACGAGTTATTCACCCAATTCATGACTTGTTACAACTCGTACAAGTCCACACACCAGCATCAGAACTTTACCAAACATTATAGCATTGTGTTGCGCACTACTCGGGGTTTTTCCGTACTGATAATATTCGTGCGGCAGTACCAAAGAAAATATCAATGTATGATTTAGAGAAGTACTAAAAGGTTGTCAAATCTTGGGTTGCAGAGTAGCAAGCCATGTTGGAGAATGATAATTATCAGTGTCCTTCGGCTTCACTTAATGAAGTAGGGTTACAACTTCCCCAGTCGCAGTAACAAGCTGGTGACTAGATTGCATTACCTTTGAATTTGCAGTTCCTGGTGATGGGCTTAGTTGGGCCATCACTGGAAGATATTCGGAAAAAGGATCTTGTAAGAAACTACACGAAGTCTACGGCGATGCAGTGCTGCATTCAGACGATGATCGCATTGCGTGATCTGCATGGAATAGGCTATCTGCACAGGTAATTTAGGTCGAAAGCGGCCTGCGAATAGGACAAAGACACTCCAAGATATCGTCGAAAATAACATACTTAGTTAACCTTTTCAAATAACTCACTGAAATTTTTAACACAGTAGCATAATTCCACATAATTGAAGGGATATAAAGCCTCAGAACTATGCCATCGGACTCGGCCCTAAAGAATCAACAATATACATGCTAGATTTTGGAATAGCGAGGAAATTCACGGAAGAAAACACAAGAAAGATAAAGTGGGTTTCATGAAAGCCACTAATACTTTGAACTGTTTTTTCCCTATCTTAACTGTAGTAGTTGGCCAGCGAAATATAGGTCCTTGAGTGGTTCAGTGACAGGGTGCTTTTCTGCCACACGGACGATCCGGGTTCGATTGCTGGCCAATGCACCAAATGTATTAATTGGGCAGTAGAATACAGGTCTTCGGGTCAGCGCTCGACATCGAATAATCAGTAGGCCGAAGTAAAATGCTCGAATTACGACGAATTTGAGACGCGGACTTTTTGACGTTGCTACAGAACACAATCTCAAGGTTACGTTGTAGCCCTTTATAATAATAAAATCAATACAATGCTAGCGATCTGGCGATATCCAGATGGGTAATGAATACATGCGCCAAGAGGAAGACGGAGACTGCAGGAGCGCCAGTTGAGCGAACTAAACGAGATGACCAATAATACTGCTTGTAACTTCAATGATGCTGAAATATTTGCAAAACTCCAGACCGCAGGTGTATGCGGTGGGGAAGGAACGCACTATTGTCCTTAGCGGGGAGTAGCGCACTTCACCACCACACCATCCGGGTCCCTCGTTTTGCCTGTCTGTCAGCTTGTCAAATTACTTGTATTCTCTCCAGAGCTCGTGCGGCGCAGTGGTCGGAGGCGCCCTGCAACACACATGTGGAACCGATCTCCACGCCCGTGGCCCACCATCACTCCGCGCTCAGCAAATTGGTACCGGACCTGCTTGGGAGGATAAAAGCACTGGCCCGATATATCGCTAAGCCACCGAAAGTCATTGTAAAAACCAGATATACATTCGAGTACCTCTGAACGATGCTTAATGAGGTCGAATGAATGGCGCATCACTCAGGGGTTGATCAATGCAGCTTTATCCTTTTTGTATACTCTCTTTAATAAGCGAAGTTTGACAGAAGGGACTAGAGATAATGCTCAAAGGGAGATTCTAGAAAGTGATCAGTTAGTACAATCGGACAGAACTGCTTGCACAGAAGGTTCCTGGATTTAGCTGCTCGTCGCGCGGAAGGTTCGTCTGAAAGCGACACAAAAGCTTATACGGAAACTTCATTGGAACTATAGGTACAGGAAAGTACATGGAGCTGATAGCCGATTGCTCGAACTGTCAGGAAAAAAAAGACAGTTGCTACAAAGAAGTTCACGAATGTCTTTCCAGACAGCTACAAAGCTGGTGGCTGAGAAGCAGTTTGTAGAAAGCGCAAGGATAAATGTGGACACCAGTAAACATAGTCAATGTAGGAAACCTGTGACAATTGAGAAAATAGGGACCATTTGGAAAACACTTGTGTGGGGGAAACCTATTCAACAGTTGCAGAGGAAATCAGTGGTTTTCGAAAACAAGTCGTTTCGATTCAAACTAGCCAACAAAGATTGAAATGTGCAGTAACGCATTACTTGATACTTGATACTTGAACGGCCCGTCCTCGCTGGTTGTGCGGCCTCATCATAATCTCCATTTCTTGGAGATTTGCTAGTTAAGCCATTGTGGTTTCCTAGAATCCTGAGGACAGCCTGGCCAAAGTCTGCCCCAGGTCTTCACCACCACCGGCAGTGGCAGCCCTTGTGGTTCAGAGGGAGATTTGACACCACGCGACTTTGATACCAAGGCGGTGGTGGATTCTGGTATTGGTTAGGCATTGTGGCAGTAACGTACTGTATTATTGAAAATCACGATATTATAAAAGACGTCAAAATATGAAATACTGGTCGATGTTTGGTTTAACAGCTGAGTTACTGCGCTTGGATTTGGCGTTAGTTCTGCTGCAACGAAATATTCCCCATTCGACAATGCTACTAAGTGGAGTCACCTTCGAAATTGGAAAACCACTCCATACTTTTACCATTATGAGCCCTGATCTACTAGCACAAGTTACTACTTATATTTTGCTACACATATGTTCACCTCTCATCTCTGAATCTAACAAATCGATTGATATGTTGTCCCTTGAGCGGAAACTCGCAATTTTTTGTTCATCAACACCTTTAAGTGAAATGATGCTAGTTCCACATCAACAAGCACCAACAATGTTTAGGCTATTATCTGCCCCTTTTCAGGGTACCCCGAATAAAAGTGCACTTCTTGGGAACACTGAGATTCGCCTCACGAGCTTGTCACAAGCAAATCGAACAGGGACCAAAAGACGACATGGAATGCTGGTTGTACATGGTATGGTGAGAATTCTTTAAAATAGATTTAATTGCTGGCGCCAGCACTGGATCGTGTGTCCTCTCTAAACATGGTGAGTACCAAACTACTAGATCAAGTACTTTATTCCAGTTTATGTTCTACTTCCAACTACTTTTACTTACCGACGTATGCTGACGACAACCGCGTCCGCACCTTTGAACGGATCGCAGCAACTATGTGCGACGACAGCAGCCACCTTGTCTGTAACGACGGGCAGGACAGTGTCTCTTTTATCAAACGACTTCCTCAAATCATTGAGCAGTGAAGGCCGAAGAAACTTTTTGCTACATTTGCATTAATAAATTTCTTCACACAACCGGTCTTCACATTTGCAGTGAGGATCACAGAACTTCTTGCCATCTACCCGTTTTCTCGTATTCACGAAGGTCTTCGAACTTCTAACACTTGGCTTCAGTTGCAGCTTGAAGATTGTCGCCTTCTTTACGAAAGTCGTTGAATTCTGCTATAGTCGATAATACCTGCTGCCATAAGATAGCCATGCTAGAGCGTTCGGACTTGAATTACAAAGTGAGCATTCCCTGGAAAAGCATGGTGTGGGACACGTCCCACACGTAACATCACGGCTCTGAGGAAGGCGAAATAGCCGAAACGCCAGCCATCGATCAATAACATCAAAAACAGCGACAACGACAACGGAAACCTGTACCAACCTCGCGTCAGCTTAAGAAGATCAGTTTATAAGATCACATAAATAAATATGTCAGCTATCTCTGCCGAGGTTTATAGAAAGTCGGTCTTTCGAGTTATTAAAAAATGTTCAATTGCTCTTCTCATCACCAATGAGCCAAGCCATTGAAAAATTCTGTGGAACGGACGGAGACGAAATGGTCTATGCCCGTGCAGACTCTTATCAGTCAGCGATTTTCTTACCGTTGAAGCAGTTCCGATATTTCCGACTCTTGTGGAAAAGAAGAGGAAGCCTCGGTTGTTGCCCTCTCGTTTCGCCATCGATGTCATTCGTTTAGAGTTGACCAACCACGTAGGATTCGATTAAAAAATTCTACCACAGCAACTACTTGACTGTGGTCTACCGAAGCTTCTATGTCTCGTATTGATTCATAAAGGGTAAAGGATAAAGCTCTCGGCGTTTAGCCATCGCTAAGGGATGCGCCATGCATTCGACTTCATTAAGCATCGTTGGAGGTGATTAGTTGCATATCTGGCCTTCATAATGATTCGCGATGGCCCACAGATCTATCAAACCAGTGCTGGTATCTTCCCAGACAGGTTTGATAATAGCGATCTGCTGAACCTGGAAGAATGGAAGGCTTGATGAGCCTGAGGTGCGGGATCGATCTCATGTGTATCGCAAGGCGTTTCCGACTACTGTGCTACACGCGCCGCATCATATTTACTCATACAAGAGATAATAGGTTGTAGTTAGCGATCCAACATTTTAGGAAATTTCATTGGCTTTCGTCGGTAGTACAAGAGATTCTAAATGACCATGTTTAAATTTACGCTTTGAATTAATCAGAGGCCTTTGCCACTCGTTTCTCCGATGATTGCGAATGAATAACTGGCTGTTCCTTTCCGTAGAACACCGTTGTGATGATACCTCTTCAACTACTCCCTCTGATTCTAGAACTGTGGAGAGTGTCCACTTATTTTTGTGGTTTCCAGTGTTTCGATTTATTTGATGATGAGTATGGCTTACCGTGGAAGAGATGCGAACGTGAGGAAATCCTGGGGAAAAAAGAGAAGTTCTTCAAATTAGAGCGTATGTCAATTTTCTTCTAGTAGTGGGGAGTAGAATAAACACGAGAAGAACTATATTGTAGACATTGTAGCAATCAATTCCTTGCAGTTTCGGAGTGCTATAATATAGTTCCGGAAGACTTTAAAAGACTCGTGGAGTACATAAATGGTTTGAAATACGCCGACGAGCCAGACTATGTGTCAGTGATTTATTTCCGTAAAACTGTACAAAAGGAAAACTGACCAGTTTACGAAGCACCAGTGCTTCTATTCGCCAAGGTGACAATAATCCACGATTGGCGAGATCACTAAACTTGGTGTCAGGACATTTCATTAAAAAAACGGTCACATGATTTAGTTAGTACTGTTTTGACTTGTATTTATTGTTTTTCTAGCAGTCGATCTTACTGGCTACCATTAATATCGTTCCATTGGACTTAAAAGGTATTAGAATGCACTTTAAGGTATCTACGTAACTCTTTGGCCGCCATTTCGAAAGAAGCTAGGGTAGACTTTTCGAAGCCACTTGACTGGGCTGGTATCACTAAGAGGCGTGCAGAGAAGGCGGAGAAGGAGGTTAGTTGTGGCGCAATAGGCGGATTTCTTATGTCTTTAATTGTTACACTCATCACTTTCTGTATGCACCACTGTCATATGGATGTTTAACTAATTGGATACCGTCTTAACGAATTCTGCGACCCTAGTGACCGCCCTTCATAAAGACAGTCCTATTTGAATACGACAGCATCATTGAACTCCGATGCATCTTCAACAAGCCGTGTCGAGTAGCGAGATAAGCTTGCTGACATGAACAACAAATATCCACAACGATTTTATCGTCAATCTCTCCATGAGCACACCTACATTTGATTCAAAGTTGCCGTCCTGAAATTACCAGCTCACATTTAATCTTTCCATATGCGTTTCGTTGGATGACGAAAATGAAAAGTAGTTAGACGGCTGAACTGCAAAGCTATTGGAAATGTAGTAGAAAAGTAGGGGATTGTGTTGAACCTCTGAATTACTAGCTACATCACATAGTACACTGTGTACAATCTCTTTTCATATAACGGAACGAAGATATATTTATTTATATGTTCTTATGAACTGGTCCTGGTTGAGCTGATGCAAGACTGGTCTAAGTTGCCGTTGCAGTTGTTGTTATTGCTGTTGTTGAGTCCCACTCGTAACAGCACGCCTCTGAGGAAGAAGAATTCGCCGGAACGTCAGCCATCCACCAACAGCAACAGCAACAACAACAACGACAACTTATACCAACCTGCATCGGCTCAACAAGATCAGTTCATAAGAACATATAAATAAATATATCGACCATTTATGTCGAGGTTTATAGAAAGTCGGTCTTTTGAGTTATTACGAAGGAAGAAAACCATATCACCAGTGAGATTGGGTGCAGTCCTGTAATCGGAAATTCGAGGGTTTTTTCAATTTAGTCAGTAGTGTGAAATATAACTTCAATGATGCTGAGATATTTGCAAAACTCCGGACCGCAGGTGTCTGCAGTGGAAAACGAACGCGCTATTGTCCTTTCCGGGGAGTAACCCTCTCACCACTACACCATGCGGGTTGTTTGTTACGTCTGTCTCTCAGCTATTTCTATCGATCTTCTGCCATCAGCAATCACCCGTCAGCGGGATTGATCTGGGCAGCCCAAATCAGCAACGAACCCAGTTAAGCTGAGGCTGTAGTTATAATCACGAAACGAAGGACCCACATGGTGTGGTGGTGAAGGCGTCTCTCCTCGGAAAGGACGGTAGCGCGTTAGTTCCCCACCGCACAAACCTGCGGTCCGGAGTTTTGAAAATAACTCAGCATCATTGAAGTTATATTTCGTAATATATACCCTGCCATTAAAAAGAGTGGCCAGTAAAGAATAAGTTAAAATTGTGATTAGCCAGTAGTCATGCACGATGGCTGTTAGAGCCACTGCTTGAAAAATGTTAAATCTTCAATTCCGAAATCATCACAAAAAGTCGTGTACCAAGGCTGTTCTGTTAACTGACTATTCAGTAATTGATTACGTATGTATACAAATCCCGTCATTGAGCCCTATATCGAGCACTGGAGTGAAACATTCGAAATGTAAAGTTTTTATATGATATCAGCTTCAAGTTTCCAGGAAGACGAGCGCGGGGACACGTCTTCAGACAATAAACAACAAGAAACTGGTTCTGGAGAAAATCAAGAAAGGCAAAGGTCTTCGAAGAGGTATGTTCCTTAGTGATGGAAATATGAAGACACTAAGGTGCAATATGGAACACCTACTTTCGATCGTGCCATTCACTAGTCAACTTTACTTGCCCATAGACCCACCACGTTAATATGTGAAGTGCTACCCTCGACCATATGAAATGTGATAATCGGATGAATCACTGATATCGATTAATATGAAGAAGAACATCACAAGGACAATGAACTTTTACTGCCACTATCTCTCTTAAATATTGTGCCAAGGTTCCAAAATACTGGTCGCAGCGAAGTGGAGATGACAAATAGTTTTGACGTACCCCTACTCACAACCTATGGGTCACCGCAGCTGATTGACTCGATCTATAAGTACGTACGATTGCACCGGTGTCCTTATGGGTAGCTTTTAAAAGATTTTTTCGTATGTATATGGCAAAATGAATAAGTGTGTAAACTGCATTGAGAAAACGTCACTGTTGCGTACTTCAGCCGTTCTCGCACTCGCGCGTCAAAGAAGAGGTGATATCCGCGTGCATACAAAGATCGATTTTTAAATAGTGAGTTCTTATCCCTCTCTCAAGAACCCCTTTCTAAACGGTTCAGCATCTCAACATTGCTCGATGGTATTCCTAGTTACCGAGATAAGGGTGTGCTGAATGAAAATTTCCTTCTTCAGAGTTTCTTAATTTTGTAATGAGTTCAACATTTCCATCCAAACATCCATTTCATCGCAAGTCAACGCCGGAAACCACCCCGTTTTTGTGGTTACTTGTCCGCAAGCGAGAAAATCATTCTTAAATTCGGAAAAACTGCCTTGTCGTGACCATCTGAGGAAGTCGTTCATGCGTGTCTCTAAGAAAACACGGTTCGAACAACACCAGCAGATGCGTGACTGTAAGCCATTTGTATCAAGGCATGTGTACGAATAAAATGGACTATACGTATTGTAGCCCCGTATAGCTGCTTTACTGCACTTTTTGTTTCCATTTGGTAGCTTATGGAGCACAAATATTGTGACGGGTGTGATTTAAGGAAAGCTATTTCCCACACTTTGAGGTTCACAAAACATTTTCAAAGCTAGTTTGTTCGTTTGAATTTAATTCTGCGGAGAGTGCTGAGATTTTCGATGTACGTAAAGGCTTCAAAGCTTGAAGAGACTTAGAAAGAAAACACAAAAACTTCAAGAAAAAGAACAGGAAAGCTGGAAGGCTTAGAATGAAACGTCGAAATTGAGGGATATTTTATCGCTGTAATAAGATTTTGAATCCTATAGTCGTTTTTATAGCACGAAAAGGAACTACGAATGCCCAAAGTCTTTGTTCATTATTGTGTAAAATGCATTTTTACAGACTTTACACATTCTCAGTTCTTAGTGCTTTAAAACATTTATATTAGAAGAGGATAAAGATAACGCTCTCGGCTTCCATCAATCCCTGAGAGATGAGCTATGTATTCGACTACACTAAGGCATAGTTGGAGGTGATTGAATGCATATCTGGCCGTTACATTGACTGCTATCCTCACAGAGAAGGCTACCAATTTGCCGACCTTGCAGAGCAGCAAGACTTGGTGGACCACAAGCACGGGAGTCGATCCCACGTGTGTGTTGCAAGACCTATCGGACCACTGCGCCACATTTATGTTCACCTGTATCACCTGTAGTCCCGTTGATTGTCGAGTGACTCGAGTAGGCGCCAGTAATTCTTCCATTTTTCCCTGTCACGTGCAAGAGTAGCCCAGTGGGTTTTGATTACTGTAGGGACTCGTCGAGCATAATATCATTATTCAAGACTCTTTGTGAAGAGCTCTGACCATCGCGTCGGTGGTCTTCCTGCAGCACATTTGACACCAATCACTGACGGTTCATGTCCATCGGTTGTCGTTCGTACGCATTACGTCTCCGGCCCACCTTATATTCGACTGCTTAACCTACAGAACGGCATCTTTGATTTTTGATCGTTGACGCAGGCCGGATCTTCGGATCCCATCCCTTGTGTGAAAAGGGTTACTCCTAGCATCGTCCTTTCCACTGCGCATTCGATAACGCTGAGTGACTTTTCATCTTGCTTACGCAGCGACCAGGTTTCTAACACATACGCTAGGGCAGGAAGTACCGTTGAGTCGAAAAGTTGGGCACGGAGTCGGGTGTTCTTTGTCCTCTTCAATACATCCTCGATGCTCTTGAAAGCTCCCAAAGCCGCTCGTTTCCTTCTGCTCAGCTCTGGAGCTAAGTCGTTCATCATACAGATTTCCCGACCTAGATTAACATAACTGGAGCATCGTTTCGTTGGGCGTGAATGGGGCATACGAAACCAATCCGTTCCTCATAAACATCGTTTTTGTGAGATTTAGTCGAAGACCAATCTTTCCACAGGCTTTGTCAAAGTCGTCAAGCATATGTTCCGCTTGGCTAATGTTTGGTGTTACAAGGACGATGTCATCAACAAAGCAAAGATGGTGTAACTGCTAACCGTCGATTTTCACCCCCATATTATCCCATTCCAATGTTCGCATGACGTTCTGGAGGGTGGCGGTAAATAATTTTGGCGAGATGGTATCGCCTCGCCTAACTCCTCTTTTGATGTCTATGTTAATATCGTTGTAGAATGGTGATATCTTGATTGTGAAATTCTTGTACAGCTCACAAAAAACCTTATGTACTGAATAGGGACTCCTTGACTATCAAGGGCTTCCATGACCGCTTCTATCTCAGTTGAAACAAAGGCCTTCTGTAAATCGATGGAAGTGGGACACTCTCGCGATACTTCAATGAGCCTTGTCGGCGTGTGAATGTGGTCCATCGTACTAAACCTTTTCGAAACCCTGGTTGCTCACATGGCTGACCTTCACCCAGTGTTCTGTCAATCCTGTTTAGGATGACTCGGGTGAAAAGCTTGTAGACGACAGACAGCAAGCAGATCGGAGGACAGTTGCCGATATCGTGTAGGTTCCCTTCTTGAACAATAATACGGTCCTGCTGGTCTTCCACTGAGTACGGACCTTGCATTCAGACGAGTAACGTGTGAAGAGCCGACCCAGTGTGTTTACGAGGATTGGCGGAAGGTTCTTTAGGTGTTCTGATCTTATCCTGTCCGGACTTCGTGCTGTTCGATTTTTCACCGACAAAATGGTATGTCGGAATTCAGAAAGGAGAACCGGTGGTGCAAAAAATATCCGTCCTCCTTTATTTCATATGACGGGAGGTGGACGTGACAATCGAACAGATCTGTGTAGTATTCGTGAATGATTCTCTCCATTGCCTTTCTGGACGCTGTATCTGATGCGTCTGGGCGTCGGAGTGCAATCATCTTGGTCTTGTAATTGGCGAAGCTTCGGTGGGCTTTGCGAATGTTTTTCCCAGTCTCTGCAGCTTCGACTATCACTGCTGCTCTTCTCTCTTTAAGATCTTCTTTTATCGCTGTCTGCATTGCTTTGCACGTTCGGACGTTAGTTCGCAGTTGCCTGCAGCTCGTGCGATTCCACGCTGGCGTATCAGCTCGAGTGTTTCTGGAGACAGACGTCTCTTGGTGACTTTTGAACTCTCAGCTTTCATAGCGCTATCGAAAGATGTTGAATGAGCCGATCGTATTCTTTGTCGATGTTATCGACAACATTACCATGGATGGCCTTTGTTGTCATGATAAACTCAGAAAGCTGCTCACCCTGTTCGTTCCATTCTTATCCGTGAGTCCCAATGTGACGTTCTTCAGACGTTCTTCTTGGTCCAATCTTGGCGTTAAAATCTCCAACGATAACCTTGAAGAATGTATGATCTTCTCTGTAGAACTTCTGCAAGTCCATATAAAGTGCTTCGACTTCTTCTTCGTCACAGTTTGATGTCGGCGCGTAAACGACGAAGATTGTCAAAGCCGGTATTGTTCCACATCTTTTTAATCGCAAATGTCCGATTCGGGTTGTAATTTGTTCGAATGAATCGATGTTTATGGACAAACCCTTGTTGACGAGAACGCCAACTCCACCGACTCCTCTACTATCGCATGTTCCGAGGAACAGTTCTACAGCGTTGAATGGGTGGCGCCTTCTCGTCTCGGATGACGTCGTACCTTATCCTTCTTGCTTGCATGAGCAATTCTTCTATCGAGGACTCGGATGAAAGTGTACGTGCATTGTAGGTACAGATCGTCACCTTAGTTCTTTGAAATCCAGGCAGCTTTCATTGGTCTTGAGATTTTCGCAGCCTCTCCGTACTCGTTCTACCCAACGCTGCGAGACTGGGGGCTCTTTCTGGGTCAGGGGAGTGAGGCCTGTTTTTTTTTACTGTGTTTAGCATTTTTGATACCCACGTATAGCTTGCTGGGCTCTGAACGTGGGGGCTGGGCATACGCACGAGTAGCTCTCCCAGAGTGGACATGGAGCCTGTTTGTTGGAGGCGACTCATAACCGCCTCCCATATACTTCCCAGTCACTTGATTGCAGGCTTTTGGCCGAATTGACTCGTAGAATACAGGCGGCATAAGCAAGAATGCACCCACACACGCATGCATGAATACGTCTAGCAAATGCAGAAAGTATGTGCCAAATCAGCGCAGCAGAAACAGGGAGTCCATCCCCTGGATCTACCTGCGTCTCAGGGAAGCAAAGGTCGCTTTTGATCCGCGATTAACCCCCTATCCGCCACCTAGGGATGCGCCACGTAGCCTGGCGACTAACCGGCTGGCGATCCCTCATATGAAGGAGATCCGTGAACATTTATGCTACAACCTATAAATCCTTGTGGCGAGCACTTTCTATATACTATTCACACTTATCACAAATCCCCAATTTCCACATCGTCACGTCCACACTAACTACCTAGAATTACAAACATTACAATTTTGCTAGTTCCACGGTTTACGATCATTAAACAAAATTTGCAATTTTTACACTGAATTCGTCACATATCAGTGACACAATGGCACCCTCTCACTGGAACACCATTATGGCGCTCCTATTCTGTTGGACTTTCAAGTTTCGTCCACTCAACTTTTTCTGCAAAATCAGCTTGGGATACGTATTCCCTTTCGACTTGCATGCGCCTAAAAATGGATTTTTTTCTCGATTTGCCTCTGGACTAAGGTAGATGCTTCTGTAGCAATCCTCAGTGAATAGTCGTTCTGGATCGAACAAATCGCTC